GAGCTTTATACTCTGCTATGTATATTAAGCAATATCTATCACATATTTTGGATGAAACCTTTAAAAATACCTACTTTAATCTTATGTGAAAGATATACAAAGTGAGTTGAAACGTGGTGGAATTATTCTTTTAATATCACAACTTCTTTTTCATGTTATCTGAGAGAGGAGACCATTAGCTAAGTCACATCTATTTATTTTATTTGAAGAACTTAGACACGTTTTTCTCAAATTATTTTCTTGTTTTGTTGGTTTTCAATTATTTATGGAAAAAAATTGATGAGTTAAAAATTCTGCCTGCTGAAATACTAATGGCATGTTCATTTTTTTAAGAGAGAGAAAGAATTTTTTAATATTTATTTTATTTATTTATTTTAGTTTTCAGTGGACACAATATCTGTATTTTATTTGTATGTGGTACTGAGGATCAAACCCAGTGCCCCGCACATGCCAGGCCAGCACATTACCACTTGAGCCACATCCCCAGCCCACGGCATGTTCTAAAATAAACATTACATGGAGTACTTTTTCTTCAGCATGTTAATCAAAATATTTTATTTACCTGTTCTGAGATGTACATTTTTTTTTCATTTTGCATGTCTAAAATCATGATGAGTTATATAATCAATAGTTAGTTATAATATTTTCAACCAGTTGGAAAGAGATACATAGGCAGTATTTCTTAAGCATGTGTGAACATGGTTCTTGCTGATTGTATAGTCTTTGTGTCAGTTCAGTTATGTGTACTCTTTATATGTGTTGAAATTGTCAGTTGACACTTCTTCATATTGATTGCATTATGATTTAGACTAGAATAAAGAATTGTCTTAAAAGAAAGGCACAAAATTACAGCAAAGTTAAATTTCATATGATGAAGCAAACATTTTATTGTTAAAACATTGACTACAATTCTGTATTTTTATTTTTTATCTTTTTCTGCTAATCATCAGCTAAGCAAGTTATGTAATCTTGCTTTTTATGTCAACTCGGGACCAACTGTGTTGGCATCTCTAAGGATCTTGTTAGAGATGCTGAACCGTGGGCTCATCTCAGATCTACACATCAGAATCTGGGTTTTAACAAAATCCCTATATAATTCATTTTTACCTTAAAGTTTGAAAATCACTTTATATAAATTTATAAAAACTTTATTGTACCATGCAAGATATCCACAGAGTAAAACTTTTATATTTTACTACTGAGATATGAACTGAGCACTTGCCTCCCATCTGCTATGCAATGCAGCTTGAAACTGGTGAAAAAATCTTTAAAAAGCACCAGGACACTATGTGGTGGACTCAAAAATTAAGCATGGCAATATTCATTGACATCAAGTTCCAAATGAAAGCTCTTCTGTAAGCTCTATTTAACTTAGGTATTTGTTTGGTTGCTTTTGTGGTACGGAAAATTGAACCTAGAGGTGCTGTAGGACTGAGCTACATCCCTAGGCTTTGTTTGTTTGTTTGTTTGTTTGAAACAGTTTTTCTAAGTTGCTGATGTTGGCCTTGAACTTGTGATCCTCCTCCCTTAGCTTCCAGAATATCTGGGATTACAGATGTGTGCCAAGGCAACCCTCTCTCTATTTAGGTATTAAATAGATTCTACTGATAAGAGAAAATTGTGCTATAGTTTATTTGGCAGCATTATTTTTCTTTCCAAGTGGTACATAAAATCATGTTGTAACTTAGAACACAATGACTTTGATAAAATACAAACATTAACACCAGTGCAATATATCACAAATCCATTAGATATCATAAAAATTATAACTCTTGTTCCTACGGATGTGTGTATTTGAGATAACTGGATAAAGTGACATAGAAAATATTTAATGTGTATAGCTTAAAATTTATCCTACTAATTATTTTATTATTAACTAAGTCTTCTCTGATAAATGACATTTTCCAAAGTTATTGCAGTATACTTGAAAAATAACAATTGCATATACTTAGATGTAAACCTTGAAGTATTGATATACATAACTATTAGGAAATGATTACTATAATCAAGCTAATTAAAATAATCAGCTCAATGTATCACTATAATTTTTTGTGGTAGGAAAGCAAGATGAATTCTCTTAGTACAATTTAAGTATATAGTGCAGAATCATTAATGTAATCATCGTACTATACATTAGATTTCTAGAATTTATTCATCTAATATACTGAAACTTTATTCTCTTTGATGAATGACTGTTTATATAAGAAGAAGAAGAATTAATAAACCTATTATTCACATTTTATTTTTATGCTACATTAAATAATGACAGTGGATATTTGCTCTAAGTTAATACAGTAGCTACATTAATAGTAAATTAGCTCATTATAACTTTGATACATATAATGAATATAAAATTAACACTTGTAAGTGAATTTTTAACCACAAAAATAAACTTGATAAATGGTTTAAGATGTTGGACCTAAATATCTGCTTTTAGTTTGATATTTTAAATAATTTATCTATATTCATATCTCATCCATATGTTCTTAGTTGGCATTTAGTGTAACAAATGAAATTTCTATTTTAAAAAAAGTAACTTTTATTCTAAATGACATTGAGAACACTTTATTCACTTAAAGTCTTGGGTCAAGTCTGTGGTTGCTGACTATTAGACTGTCTACATCCTATTTTTTCCAAATTTAATGATTTATTTATGATGATCTCTGTCATACTTTGTGCATGGCATGCTGAAAGTAATGGGATTTTTTGTTAAGGCAGAAGAGTAGGTTTTGAGGACAGTGATAGAATTAAAGAGCCAAGCCCATCTCACCTACCTAGATGGCTTTCTCTGCCACATCATGTTGAGCTGCGTGGAGATACAAGTCAAATGATAAACAGGCAAGGGAGATCAATTGAATTTTACCACCAGAACAGGAAGAGATAGCTATGAGTTCAAATGCTTCTTCCAAAATTTACATTTTGATTTTCTAGGGCACAGTATCTTTTGTATTGTAGGTACTTAGTAAATACTTTTTAAATAAAAATATGCTGAAAATTGTTATGATTGTGGGTTATGCCCATTCTTAACTGAGTATTGCGCAGATTTCAATGAACAGGCCATTTTTATGCTGTTTTAAATGATTAGAAGATCATTTGAGACAGGCACACAATATATTCTGTTTTATTATGTGCCTTCATCTTCAACATTTTATTAGGGTTTTTCACTAACTTGTGAAGTAAACAAATTTTAATAATGCCACTTTGTGTTGTGTAATATAATAGGTTGTCACAAGTAGCAGGGGGTATCTGGTTTATATTATCTTATAGAATTATTTTCATTGTTTAGGCCCTCCGTACCTTATATTTAAAAAAAAATAGCTTAACGTGAATATACTTCTATTTTGCTCCAGATGCCCTGTGGAATATTTTGCACTCTATAATCATGATGATTTAAAATTACATGACAGAAATGTCTGATTGTTGACAAATTAATGGGGAATACCCTCTGCATGTGAAATCTGGCATGATCACTTAGACTATTGCACATATTATTTATCAAACCTACCTTTTTGTAGCAATTGCTTGAAAGGTAAAATCTGGACATGTTTGGATGTGTAAGCAAAGTTGAAAATTTTTCTGAAATCATGAAGGTCAGAAATAATGACAATCATTTTATAGTTCTTCATGAATCTGTGTCTTCCTGAGACCAGCAGCATCTGAATTACCTGGGAGCTATTTAGAAATGCAGAATCATGCAGAGGGTGGGGAGAGTCCCACCTTTCTAAGCTCAGGGACCACACAGGTCCACACAGTCTTCTCTGAGGAATATATGATAGATGCTGGTAGGAGGGAACATGTAACAGCACTAAGCAGTGAGACAACCTGCTTATACACATGCCAGCTGCTATCAGTGCCGGCTGCCCCCCACCATGCAGCATGGAGCTAATTGCCACCTTGACACAGGGGAACATACCTGTACATAGTACCCACAACACCACCACAAGGACCATGCCTACAGAGGTAGACACCTGGGAAGGGTAGGGGTTCTAGATTGCCAGCGACATCAGGTAGGCCCCAAAGAGCAAGCCCCACAGAGAGAGACCTCACAGCACTACCAGGGACCTTGATGAGGACTGGCTCACCCTTGCCTCCACAGACTCACCACCAGTAGACCCAGGTTCCCCAGAACCTCAAGCACAGAAATGTATGAGGGGAGACTCCAAACCTCTGAGAGGTCTCTCACCACTACAGGCAGGTCCACCAGATCCTATTGACCACAGCCCACATGACCATGCAGAGGAGTGCCACCAGCAGGTGGATTAGCACCAGACACCCCAAAGAGGATGCTGCCATTGAGCCAAATGTCGGCCCTCCAGGCCCTGGTGAAGGTCACAGCGCACTCTTTTCCTCAGGCGGTGTCCATGCATGTTAAAATTTCAGAAGTGCTGCTAATCAATTATTTTTTTCTGATCTCCAGTAAACAGGAAATTTTAGGGACAAGATCTTGATTCCCAAACCTTGTCTTGAAATTAGTCATGGTTTATGGCATTTTCAAATGGAATCGAAATCATACATGATTTGATTCTAGAACAGAAAAGCAATCTCCATTTTACATGCTTTAAATCCCTGTAGAATCATGTCTATTTATGTTCTTGTGAATTTTTGACTTATATAATATTATTTTTTTTCCCAAACAAAGAATAAAAATTACAGCCACTAAATGAATTCAACTGTCTCTGTTGTACTGGGTCTTTTATTGACAGTCTCAGAATGTTATTTTAGCTTTCTCAGATTTTTTTTTCTTAGACTTGTGGAAATCATGCTGCTTTGTTCTCTGCAGGAGTTAAAATAAAATATTAGTAATTATGCATATTTAATTTTCAAAAGGCCAAGTGATTACTCATAGCACTTTTTAAAAAGGAAAATGATTTCAGATATTCATAAAATGTTTCCTTGGTAAGGGGCTTTCAAGTCTAAAGTTGTGTTATTATGAATACTTTTTCTCATGGTGATCAGAATGAAAAATGAGTTTATTAACATTCTTCTTCTTTTTTTTCCAGATGCAAGACAAAAGTCTACCCTGATGAACTTCCCAACACAAGTGTAGTCATTGTGTTTCATAATGAGGCTTGGAGCACTCTCCTTAGAACTGTTTACAGTGTTATAAATCGCTCCCCACACTACCTGCTCTCTGAGGTCATCTTGGTAGATGATGCCAGTGAAAGAGGTATAAAATATTGTTCTTGTACTTATTTTATTATAAAGCTTTATTATGGTCAAAAAGATAGCCAAGCAGTGATCTGTATTTTGCTTTATAATCAATCAACGTCCTATCAAATTTTCATCAGTATATTTTGACAGTGTTCACTCCAGGAAAAATTAACTAATTCAGTTTTGTTATTATTCTTTTTGGCCTTTATTAACCTAAGAGATCAGCCAAAATGACTTTCAAATATATTTCTTTTTTCCCCCATCAATTGCTTATATTTAAAATTTATATCACTGAATATATAACATTAATTAGCTAGTGAAATTTCTTATATTATTTTCCTTAGTGCCAAAAAAAAAATTCTAAGATTTGGTCACCATTTCTGTATGTTGTATTTCTGCCTTGAAAGTATCTCTACTCTGTATTAAAAGTTTCAATTTTTTTTGAAATAAAAAATTCTCATTGCATGTTACAGATTTTCTCAAGTTGACATTAGAGAATTATGTGAAAAATTTAGAAGTACCAGTAAAAATTATCAGGATGGAAGAGCGCTCTGGGTTAATACGAGCACGTCTTCGAGGAGCAGCTGCTTCAAAAGGGCAGGTCATAACTTTTCTGGATGCACACTGTGAATGCACATTAGGGTGGCTGGAGCCCTTGCTGGCGAGAATAAAGGAAGACAGGTAGGGATTCCTGTGTTATGTCTGCATGGGTTATGACTGAACCTGTGAGGACAGTTTCAGCTGTCCATCAGAATTCTCTTCCAAGTTGCTATTTTCAGAAAGTTTACTTCACTGTTTTTCTTTTCTTTTTTTTAATGTTTTTCTTTATTTAATACAAAAGATTGGCTTATTCATGTTGAACATTAGTGTTTAAGAAATAAATAATTCAAACCATAAAAATGTGCTGAATATTTACTTTTTAAGTGAAGGAAATCAATTTGAAATAGTACAATATGTTATAAGCACATTTCCAAAGCAAATTTCTGTGTCCTCACAAACCCAGTGTGAAGTAGGTAATGTAGATGTTCTTATTGGTACCTTATAATAGGGAGTAATAAAGAAGTTACATACCTTGTGCCAGTAGTTAGCAGTACTGGGAACAATTGTTTATTTTTTTATTTTTATTTTATTTTATTTTATTTTTATTGGTTGTTCAAAACATTATAAAGCTATTGACATATCATATTTCATACATTAGATTCAAGTTGGTTATGAACTCCCAATTTTACCCCAAATACAGATTGCAGAATCACATCGGTTACACATCCACATTTTTACATAATGCCCTATTAGTAACTGTTGTATTCTGCTACCTTTCCTATCCTCTACTATCCCCACTCCCTCCCCTCCCATCTTCTCTCTCTACCCCATCCACTGTAATTCATTTCTCTCCTTGTTTATTTTCCCATTCCCCTCACAACCTCTTATATGTAATTTTGTATAACAATGAGGGACTCCCTCCATTACCATGCAATTTCTTTTCTCTCCCTTTCCATCCCACCTCATGTATCTGTTTAATGTTAATCTTTTCTTCCTGCTCTTCCTCCCTGCTCTGTTCTTAGTTGCTCTCATTATATCAAAGAAGACATTTGGTATTTGTTTTTTAGGGATTGGCTAGCTTCACTAAGCATAATCTGCTCTAGTGCCATCCATTCCCTGCAAATTCTATGATTTTGTCATTTTTTAGTGCTGTGTAATACTCCATGGTGTATAAATGCCACATTTTTTTTTATCCATTCATCTATTGAAGGGCATCTGGGTTGGTTCCACAGTCTAGCAATTGTGAATTGTGCTGCTATGAACATCGATGTAGCAGTATCCCTGTAGTACGCTCTTTTAAGGTCTTCAGGGAATAGTCCAAGAAGGGCAATAGCTGGGTCAAATGGTGGTTCCATTCCCAGCTTTCCCAGGAATCTCCATACTGCTTTCCAGATTGGCCGCACCAGTTTGCAGTCCCACCAGCAATGTACAAGAGTACCCTTTTCCCCACATCCTCTCCAGCACTTGTTGTTGTTTGACTTCATAATGGCTGCCAATCTTACTGGAGTGAGATGGTATCTTAGGGTGGTTTTGATTTGCATTTCTCTGACTGCTAGAGATGGTGAGCATTTTTTCATGTACTTGTTGATTGATTGTATGTCCTCCTCTGAGAAGTGTCTGTTCAGGTCTTTGGCCCATTTGTTGACAACTATCTTATATTTGATAAAGGAGCTAAAAGCATGCAATGGAGGGAGGATAGCATCTTCAACAAATGGTGCTGGGAAAACTGGAAATCCATATGCAACAAAATGAAACTGAATCCCCTCCTCTCTCCATGCACAAAAGTTAACTCAAAGTGGATCAAGGAGCTAGATATCAAATCAGAGACTCTGCGTCTGATAGAAGAAAAAGTTGGCGCCGATCTACATATTGTAGGGTCGGGCTCCAAATTCCTTAATAGGACACCCATAGCACAAAAGTTGATAACAAGAATCAACAAATGGGACTTACTTAAACTGAAAAGTTTTCTCTCAGCAAGAGAAACAATAAAAGAGGTAAATAGGGAGCCTACATCATGGGAACAAATTTTTACTCCTCACACTTCAGATAGAGCCCTAATATCCAGAGTATACAAAGAACTCAAAAAATTAAACAATAAGGGAACAATTGTTTAGTTCTTCCTACTCTCTCACCAGTGTTCGCTTACTGCATCAGTGCCCTCAGTCAGAGTCTAGTTCAAAATCACCTTGAGGTTTTTAAGAATAAAGACACACATACACACACACACACACACACACACACACTGCCAAAATAAATCAGGATTTAAAAAATCAGAGATCATAATTTTAATAGTATTGGCACTTTCTACAAATAAATTGTGAAATTTTAAAACTGAGTAACTCTCTACAGAAGTTAAGAACCCTCATACATATCTACATTCATTTCTGATGATGAAGCTTAATGAACATAACTAACACTAAATGCCATCTGATGCAATAACAAAGCATTACATACCAAGTCATTTATACATTTATCATATATAGTAAAAGAGTCTTTCTAGAATTAAAGTTTTTAATTAGATGCTCCAGTGAGGGGCTGCTTAGTCTGAGCTTGTTCAACCATATCACATAAATGGCAGGATTTGGAACTTGCCAGGAAGATGAATAGAGGCTGTCAGTAAAATGAACCACAGCAGTTCAAGAAAGCAGTGAGAACCTTTTAGTCAACTGAAGGTAATACACAGCTAATAATATTTTGTGTGTTGTATAGTACCCACAGGAGAGTAAGACGGGCAAAGTAGAATGAATCTGGAACATAAAATGCATTACTGGCAACTTTTCAAATGTTATACTGCTTTGTAAATGTATGTATTTCACATTCAACTTCAGAAATTTTTTAATATAATGTTTCATTATGGTCATACATTAGGCACATTCATTTTTACTAACAATGTATTTGTATTACATTTGTATATAGTGAACTTCTATTTCTTGTCCTGATTATAAATTCTAATATTGCCATAACTAGATAATAAAGTCTGTTCAAAGTTATTAGATCTAATTTTTTCTTTCTCCAAGTTAAATCTAATGAGGAAAGAAAGATAATTACTTTGTTGTGTTTAGCATCACCAAGAAACTTTTCCAAGGCCAGGTGCATCATGCTGATTTCAGAGAACTTCAGGGTTGGCCAATAGTGTGAAACATGAAACTAAGTTAATAGTTTTGATGATCCCAGAGTTACAAAACAAGAAGAAATAATGGGCAATGCTTCATTTCTTTCTACATCTATGGGTTACTTTGGAGCCTGTTTGTATATTTGTCTCCTACCCAGTAAGAAAAACACCTCTGTTTTTCAGAATTAGCTACAATCAATGCAATCCTGGGGAGACCTGAACTTTTAATTGTGTAGATGACAGAAAGTTTAGCCCACAAGAAAACACATAAACTTGGAGTAGGGGAAGAGTGAGAGAAGGCAAAACAGATTAAAAGTGTACCTAATGATTTCCCCAAGTAAAGTGTTCTAAAACCTACCATCTTAAAAGTTACTATCAAGAACATAAAACGTCCTGGCTTTCTTCTAACTTTAGGAGTAGGATAAAACATGAGACTAAAATGGCTAATGTTTCCCTGTCTTGAAATTTCATCTGGATTGTTAACAATTGGAAATTCTTAGTTATAGGACAGTTGACTCAGAAATTGTCATAAACCTGTTTTTCTTCATGGGAAGCTTTACTTATTCTGATAGTACATGATGTTAATTGTTTCTGTTTGTTGTGTTTCCTAGTAGGTGTTTTCTTCATGAAGATTTTCTTAGAACCCTTACTTTAACATAACCAATCCAATTTGAAAGGCAAATTATCAGACCAATTTTTTAGCATCCATTTCCCTCTCTCTCTGTATTCTATCACTTTTCAGTGGGCTGTAGCTGAAATGATGCATAATCTCAAAATGAATCTACTGATCATGCTGTGGGTGGAGGTTTTATAAGAAATAGATCATTCTCACCCTGCTGAGTTAGTACTTGGCATACACTTGGAAATCAACTTGAAGATCAATTCATGTATTTGATTAGATTTTACATGATAACATAAAGTTTACCATCAGAAAGATATAATAAAAGGAAATAATTTCCTAGAGAAAAAGGACAAAATAAAATTAAGGCATACTTAAGTCACAAAATAATTAAATTATATCTTAGCCGCTAAAACCAATTCAAAGAAGCTAATGTAGTATTTAAATGATCGTTTATATGTAAACTGGTTTTAATTTTTCTTCAGGAAAACAGTCGTATGCCCCATCATTGATGTGATTAGTGACGATACCTTTGAATATATGGCTGGGTCAGATATGACTTATGGGGGTTTTAATTGGAAACTAAATTTCCGCTGGTATCCTGTTCCCCAAAGAGAAATGGATAGGAGGAAAGGAGACAGAACATTGCCTGTCAGGTAAGTCATACCAAACAATGAATAGCATGGTGTTTCTAAAAAAATTAAATAATATTATAAATTTTTGTTCTAATATTTATCATTCTACAGTCCTAAATTTATTATTCCTGTGTATACATACATGATTGTAAAAGGTAAAATGTATGTATATGATATTAAATCTACTTTAAGTTAATATGGGAAAACTGAACTATTTGTAGAAATGCCAGATATGATTTAAAGGTTTATGTATTCTTATATTCAAAATATATTTACTACAAATTTTATGTGACAGGAATGTGCAACACTGGATACATCAAGGAAATATATGTCTTATTTAGAAGTTTATACTTCATAGTAGACATATTCTCAAAATTGAATTAACAAAAAATGTTTTGGTACATATCTAAATTTATCATCCTTTAAATGGTTATCTTCACTTAGAGACAATGTAAAGAACCATATGGAAAACTTTATTAACAATTTTGAAGGATTTATTGTTGGTTTCAAATTACTTCAAATAGCTATTTATTTGGAATATTTTTAGTAAAATATTTATGTTCCCTTAATAAAAAAAGAATATTATGCATATTTGGTTGTCTAGATAAGTATTATTATCACAAAAGTATCGCCTTCCTAATTTAACACATTGCTGTGTACTTCTTACCTACAATCAAAAATTGGTTTCCTAATAATTTTTGGAGGAAATATTCACTAATTTAACTCTTTAATGTTGAATTTGGCAAATCATCGTTCTATTGTAACAATAGAGAAATATCCTAAAATTCTAAAATAACATACATATAATCCATTCTATTAAAAAATACTTTCTGGCAAACTACTGAGAGCATGATCTATTCATTATTAACTACTTAATAATCAAAAACTAATCTTAAAAATTGTCTAATAGAGGAGAGCAGCTCTAATTACTTGTTATTGAGTAATAAAAAATTATGAGCTATTAACTTCTTAAGGAAATACTACCCCATCAACTAGAATGGAATGTGTCCCCTAAAATTTGCATAACCACAAGTAAATTATCATGTCAATATTTAAAGCATAATTTAGTGGTTTTTAAGTCTTGTGTCATCATCACTTTCACCCAGTTCTAATAATAGTTACCCTTAACAACCTGAGTAAATACAGTGTCTCATACATAATACCACCATTATTAGAAATCCTCTTTAGCTAGATCCTGGCTTCATTTAGTGTTAGCTGGTTTTTAAGCTTCAAAGCCCAAATGAAAAATATCAAAATGCTTGGCCAATGCACTTAAATATAAGTAATGTGTTTATTGATTTGAAAATGAATTTTATAAGGATACACATTTGTACTTGTTTTAAAAAAACAAGATTTTTTAAAACTTCATTTTCTCAGAGTCAAAAGATACATAATTAAGGTAGCTATCATTCATAGTACGAAATTACTGATCTGATTCATGGACGTAAAGATCTACACAGAAATCAACCATAATTACTAATTTTTCATTAACTGAAACAAAAGATGAATCACCCAGCTCTCTGTATTTAACCAGAATTCATGTGGTTTTATTGAAGTGAGAACTGATAAAAGTCTCAGCATTTTATTTGCCTAGTAACTACACACCATTTCATTTTCTAAAATACTGAAGAAGCTAGAGGAAGAGAAGTGGAGAAACTGCAGTGTCTGCTGAAGTTTCTAGATTTTTATGGCAAAAGGTTAATTAATTCACTGGCTCAGTTGTAACAGCCTGCAGGTAATTTTCATCAGCATAGCTGTGATGTGAACTTTCTTTGTACTTGTAATCTATTACTTGAAGATGTGATCATTTTTCTCACAGTCATACAAATAGATAAATCATTCCAGGTGTTGGAGATAATTTTTTTCCCACATGATTAACAGAATTCTGAATAGCTAAAGTGATTAAAATGAGGTTAAAATTTTAGTTTTCTTAGTGGAATGCTTCATTTCAAATGTCACTAATGACAGTACTTTGTAGTCATCATGCTTGGCTGGTCATCATATAGAAATACAATCATGTATCTTCAAATAGTACCAACTTGAACTGGTGGCCTACATTCAGTGATACTACATTTAGAGTCCAGCTAATAATGGTTATACTTATTGTTTTGGGGGGGGTCAGTCTCTAGTCCTTAGTGTTTTCTTTCTCATAATAGATGGGATATGTGAAGTAAGTTTTTAAATTATGAGTATGGAATAATAGCATGAGTCCTGAATATTTAGTCTGATTTAATCAGTAAAGTCTCTTGACATGTTAGTAAATTGTATGAGTTTTTAGGAATGTCTCAATTATGCATGCAACAATAGAGTACACAAATTGTTAAGCCAGAGGTCATAACTAGGAGCTTGTGTGCCAAAAAAATGCCTGGTAGTTGTGTTTTAGTTGTACTACGTAATGTTTTGTCTTTTCAAAAATTAGCATCAGTTGTAAATGAGAAGTATTAAATAATATCTGGGTTTCCAGCTATTGAGAAGTTAAAGAATCTTGCCACAATATTTCCTTATTCTTACTTGGCACCATTAGGTAGAGCTAAATAGAAAATGCCCATATGAAATTAACTGGAAAGTTTAGCCTAGTCCCTTAAAACTCCTATAAGTGTGTCTCAGACTCTGAGCCTGAGGGTCTGTTGCTACTTGTCACCATTCATATACTTGGAGAAATATTTCTCAGCATCTGTGTGCCAAGCAAAGTTGAGAGAAATACATTTACTGCAACCAATTGACTTTGCATGAATAACTTTGTTTGGCTTTAACCTTTTAAATGTGTGACCCTCAACTTGAGGAATGTTTGAGTTTGAAACTTATCAAGAACATTAGCCCTCCAAGAATACACATTTATGTTGCCTAATGAAATACAAAGAATAGCAAAATGATTTGAAAATGCAGATAATCCTACAAATCATTTGGTAAATCTGAGGACACGATATATATTTTTATTAACACAAAAATTAACATGATTTGGTCTAAGCTATTGAGATGAGTCTGATTTCACAGGCAAACATACATATACACACACTGGTCAGCACTGTGCTAGATTTTGCACATACAAACATCAATAAAGAGATCTCTGTTCTAATGTTGTTCATGCTCTGGCATTGGTCATATGTATGCTAGATGAGAGAGAGGGAGAGGCCTGAATATGAGGTCTGAGGGTGGCTCCATAGGAGTTAATTGTGTGTACTACTAGAGCGATGAATAGTTCTGGAAAAGAACCTGACTTAAATCTTATGGATTGCATTAGTCTTTTAATTATGCCCTATAAGTGACCCTTAATAAATAGTAATAAAGATATTCATTTTCCCTTTAATTTCTGAATGTTTAAAAAAGATTTCCTAATTAGAAACCTACTGGTTATTTTTCAAATCTGTTTAACTTTTTTACTCTCCATATCTTACCTTATGGACACTTACACTTTGTCATTATTCATATTCTTAATATGATTTCTTTCATTCTTATGTGGAGTACCACGTTAAGCATATTCTAAAGTAAAACAAAGGAGTTTTCGATTTTTTATTAGTCCTTAGCTATTCTAATGAATCAAACATAAATTTAATTATTAGATTTTATTCCTGACATATTTTACTTACTTATTATACATCCCATTTTATCAACATTAGTCTCAACTCATGCATCTATTTTGTACTTATTTAGAATTAGGAATTTCTTAAAAATATCAAATAAATTAAATAACATGATTGATAGAATCTTGAATTGCAACTGCTATGTCTTCATATTATTAAAGGCTCAGGGTGTTCATATGCATTGTCTTCTGAATCCTTCTAGTGTTGTGATCACAGAAGAAGTATTGAATTAGTTGGGTAGGGTCAAGTTTTTGCAGGCTTCTCCATTTGAGGAATTGATCCACTCTTTTAAGTATAAAATAGGAATTTTCCTCCATGCCTTGTTTAACTCATGAAGTGTTGTAAACTATTTAATGAATAATATATTTGGCAGTAAGTAGATGATAAATTTATGGAACACACATGTGTTGCAAAATAGATGTGAAAAGAACCTAAAAGTATAAAAACAATTAGCCAGCCACCTCTTTTAATATTTTTGCTTATTTCCTACCAGAGTACATTTTTCCAGATTCATTTAAAATTTGACACTGATGATATTTATCAGTACTTTCCAAAGCAATTAAGGTATCCTTTTTCTCACAAATAAAAGTCTTAATGTCTGCTAAAGTCTCACTTACTTAGCTCCCCCACTATTTATTTGGCAGCAAAACTGAATTAAGGTTTATTTATACTTTATTATTTTTTATTTTTTACCAATTTTTTTTTATTTTTTAACCCATACTCTTTTCATATGATGTATATTTTTCAGAACTTAGCAATTTGATAATATAAAATTTGGTTTTTATGAAATTTGCTTAATAATATATAATTGGTTTCTTGCTACCTCCTGCTAGTGCTGTGATTCTTCCCTCCTCCAAAATAAGAAATTTTTGTCATTGTCTTTAACTTATAATTTCTCTAGTTAGTATAATCAATGATAAACATTTTATTCTGTAATTTCTTATGTAAAAATTATCTTATACTTAATAGTAACTAACAGTTCGTTTCTAAATTTAAATCTACTAGATTTTCTTCATTCAGCTTTTCTCAACCCAAATACTTTCATATTTGAGAAAAGAAACAAATAGATGTCAGCAAAACCTTTAAGATACTTCTATACAAATTGGAGATATTAAAATACTGGCATAGGGAAGGATCAACATCATGAACAGAACAAATGCTTTGAAAGAAAAGATTTGAAATTGGGATGTTCAACTGTTTGATATTCTTAATTCCTCATATTAAAATCTAAAATATGTTGATTTCAAGAGAGAGAAAAATTTTCATCTCAGATGGAATCTTTGAACCTATATTCTATATAGAAAGAGTATATTTATTTTATATTGTTTCCTAATGGTTTAGGGGATGTTTTGCAAGACTTTTCTTAGCAGACTGTAGACATGAGAAGATAGCAGAGATCCCATAGAAAGATTCAGGAATGTGAATTAAATATCACATGTATATACTGAATAATGTTATCATATTAGTCAAAGCATTGTCATGCATCTGATTCCAGCTAGTATTATTACTTATTTTGAACCTTCTTAGGCAAAAAAGAAAAATCAAAGGAACTATTAAGTTTGTACCAACTATTGCACATCCTTTTGGAAGCTTGGGGTTGTATCAGTTTATGAAGATTATAAAAAGCTACTGAGAGAAAAGGTAGAAAGTAACTGCTTTTTTTTTTTATTAGAAAGAGGATCTTTAAGCACAGGTTAAGGTATTTAATTCACACACTTATTGGTAAATGGGTTCTTGGACTCCAAAACAACTCATTTTCCTATACTAAACAGAACTTTATATTTTATCTCAACCTTTACAAATAGTATTGACTTCTTTTGTGTTTCATAGACTCTAAGGACTTGAGCAAGCTTCACTGCTCAGAGTTTAAGCCAGCATAAGCCCTTAAAATAAGTTTCTTCTTTACAGAAAGCTGCATCTTTATCCACAATTGTATGTGCAAATGATTGTGTAGTGTACAATATTCCACCAAAGTTTTCACTTTTCAGCTGTAAAATTTTTAAATTTCATTCACATTTGACATTCACTTCTGCAGTAGAAGAGGGTTTGTGCCTTTGCTTTCTTTCTGTCCACTGAGCTCTCTGTACTGAGTGCGGTGGACAGGATGAGGCAGGAAGGGAAACTCATAGCATTTCATTTTCCTTTGGTTTCTACGTCTGGAAAATACTTAACCAAATAAAATCATTTTATTGTATAATGTAAAAATTCAGAAGCATGTGAAGACTTAAGTTCTTCAAGACACACTTTATACAAGTGTGATAATAATAAAATACTCATCTTTACCCATTATCTTAATTATGAATAATATTTGAGACATGTTACTAAAATAGACCTAAATACCAATAGTCTAGAAATTGAGTTATTTAACCACTACAAATAACAGCCTATAGAATTTGGAGGGTTTTGGGAGGAAATAAAAATGAGTAATTAGAAAAGCAAAATTGACACCCAGGGAAGTGAGAAGCGATAAGGCACCAGCTCATAAAAACAGTTATAGGCATGTGCAAATGATCGTCTCTAGGTAAAGAGCAGAGAAAGAGTAACATGCCAAGAGACACCCTTGAGATACCCTTCTAAAGACCCGTTTTGGACAAGAGAAGATAATTGCTAAGTGCATATATCCACAAAAACATTTTAGTGACATATCATACTCATGTGATACATATAAACTAAGAATATGTCCAAAGTCTTATAGCTAGAGAGGGAGGAAAAGGAAGGGATGTCAGTAAAAATTACAAAATGAATGGTCAAATCAGTAGAAGGAATGACCTCTATAGAACAATGAAATTCCAGAAAGAAATTATTACAGAAATGGGAGCAGGATCCAAGCTTCTTAGTTTGAAGGTCAAGAGAAGTTGAGGGAGTAGGTAGAAAGTATCCTTTCGATAAGGTTACCAGTAGAGGGAATAGAAACGTTATGTCCCTAGTTTGAATGAGCTGTGTAATGGAATGAAGATGTATTTTGGTTTAGGAGAGAACTTAACTGAGCATCTTTGTAAGCTCCAGGGGACAATCTAAAAATTCAAAGGCATAAAACTAAATGCAGTAGTCAGTGAACAAGTGGCTGACAGAGTATGCAGGAGAGAGCTGGGTGAAGAGCAGGAGTGTGAATGTTAGCCCACAGCATAGGAGCAGAGGTATTCTTTGCTGAGACACAAGAGGAAGTAGGGAGTCATGAGGAAGACTCAAACATATTGAGCTAGAGTTTGAGGGAGTTTAGACTTCATGCACATCCCTAATTCCAGGGTTCTTAAGTGAATTCAAAATTTTTGGAAAACATTTATTCAAAAATTAGACATGTATCAATAAACTTGGATAAAAGGATTATTATCAGTTTGTGAATTAAGCAGACAATCCAATCAATGACATGGGCTTGTAGTATAATCAGTTGGCCTTATCTCATTACTTTCCAGAGATGCTCTGGGTCTTAGTAGCAGATGTAGATGAAGTAAATGGTAAATTTATTCAGGCACATGGAATTACAGAAAGAAAATTGGGTCAGACAATGCAAAAACAGAGAACCAAGGGTACTAAGCTTATTTTTCACTGACATGGTAGAACCTTGGAGAGGGGTTGGGAGGAGGGAAGAAAAAAATCCCTAAGGAGGTTATTAATATGAGAATATAAATTAATTAAGGAACCATAACTATTAATTAGGGATGAAAAACAACTTTGATGGAAATAGGAGAGGTTAATGAGTAGGAAGTTGTGTTCAGAGGCAGATCTCAGAGGCAATATGATAGATAAAAAGTAGTTATGAATTATTTTGCAACACAAAGAGTATGTATATGGGGAGCCAAAATTAAGTGAAGGACACTCATGGCTGTTGTGTGAATGACTAACATCAATAACAATAGCAAAGATAAATAATCAAATCTTGTTAACTCTTTTTGATGTGCTGGACACTGAGCTAAGTGTTTTACTTCTGTTCATTCAATTCATCTTGGCCTACTTTGTATTAGATGGTGTTTACATTGAGATGATTACCCACTCCCAAACTAGATGATTGATTGGTCAGTGGTTTTAATACTGTATGGACACAAACTTGAAAAACAAATAACCTCAGATAATTCAACTACAATCAAAGTTTGTCTTTTTTTAGAGAACTTCAAGCTGCATATAGGCACATATAAATAGTTCATTAGGGACACTACAGAGCAGTCTAATTAGAACAGAACATGTAGTAGGACAATGACCATGGCTAAAGGGAGTATGTATTCTGAACCACAGTCTATAGACTGTGAAAGAGCCAATCAATATCTCAAACACAACACACACAAATAATACATGCGTGTACCCACACACAAGCCTCTCTAAGATTACTTGTCTTCAGAAAATACAGAATTGTTTTTGCAGGATTTTTCTCTTATTAATTTTTGCTACTCTTCAACTGAATGTGAATGCTATTTGAGTCTTTCTTATGGCCTAATATGGTTTATTTCTAGCCATTTTTTCATGAACTTCTCACATATTTATAGGAATAATGACCAAGAGTAAGATGAAATTGAACACATGCTTTTACATTAAAATGTGATAGTATTTTATTTATAAGCAGATAAATAGATATGCTCTCTGAATTGATCATTTAAAATGCATCATTTAACATTCTTAAGCATTTGGTTGCATCATGATAGGATAATTGCAGCAATTTTTGTTGCTAATTTTATTAAATAGACTCTCTAGCACTGTATTACCTTATGTAGTTATTGCTATAGAGTTCCAAAACCCCAATCAGGTGAGGTCATGGCTACTCCATAATTACCATCTGTTTAGCTTTGTTAGTATTTCTCATTATAACTCAGAAGGTCAATGATACTGTTCATGATAGGAACCTAGCAAGACCAAAAGTAATAAAACAGCTCTGAGACTAAGCAAGGCTCTGCTACTCCAACTGATGGACAGTTAATTACCTGAGTATAAAATAGTGAGAGCACAGGGAGAAATAGAGAATTTTGCAATATGGTTGATGTCCAAGTATAATATTATTTGGTGGATTTTCAATGAACTAAACTGTTTAATTAGAAGACATGAACATAGCCTGTGACAGAGGATACAGTTTCAAGAAAACCAAAATAGTTGGTTCTTTAACATTCTCACAGACACGAGCAATAAAAATCTAAGTTATTAGATCAGTGTTTCTGTTCTTTAATAGTATATTAGAATTTCTCAGGAGCTGTACATGCTATCATGGGTTCTTACATAGGCCAGCTAAATCTGAATCCATGGAGGGAGGTAACTGAGCATGGATGTCTTTTTTGATAGATGCTTTGATGCTGCTAATGTGCTATGAGGTTGGAAACCACAATATTACAACTAACACTTCAAAAATAATCATTCCCAATCTGGTTCTATTTGTGAACAATTTTTTAATCATTATTTCATATGGTTTATGTATAAAAACTTCTGTAGCTCACACATGAACCATTGTCCTTAATTAGTCTTTTTTGAAAATTAATTAGACCTTTAAAAACTTAAGGCCTAATTTCTTGTATCCTGTAAGAAAACTTGAATATGAAAAACAAAAATAAAGGCTTTTATTACTAAGGAAAAGTTTTGGAATTTATGATAAAGTCCTAAAATGCTGAATAGCATACAGGATTTTTGTTTATCCATAGGTCAGATAATAAATTCTACCCTTTGACGTAGATAAAGAGAAACAATAAGTACATGTAAAAATATTTTGTAACTATAATTAGATACTTATTTCATATAAGCATTTTATATAGCATTTACTTCTTTTCATATTTAATTAGAGTATGAATCTTTTCAGAGAAAAAGCATGTCCTTAGTTTCCTAAGGTTTATTTTTCAATGATTTATAATTATATTATCAAAGATCATGACTGTTTGAGAATTAGTTCATCTCTTTAAAGACTGTGCAAAGTGACCTCACTTTGGCTTTCAGAAGGAATGTAGAAGCCCCAGTTTTAAGGGGGTCAGTGTTCCTTCCATATAGCTCTTTGATCACATATAAGACAGAAATAGACTCATCTAAAGTGAGTTTATAGAAAATGTGAAATAAAATGTAATTTTTAAATCTTAAAACCTCTTGCAACTTGTTTTTGTGTTTCTAGTTTGAACTTTTGAAATACTAGTTTTTATATTTAAAATGTCAAAAAATATTTGCTACAGTCTCCTTAAACACCACACATTGATTTCAAAAGATATTCTTTTGTTTTTGTTTTGTTTTTGTTTTTGTTTTTTTCAACTAGGACCCCTACTATGGCTGGTGGCCTATTTTCTATTGACAGAAACTACTTTGAAGAGATAGGAACTTACGATGCAGGAATGGATATCTGGGGTGGAGAGAATCTTGAAATGTCTTTTAGGGTAATTGCATTTTACTTTGTTTTTTGTTTTTTGTTTTTTAACTCTGAACATAGTATGCTGTAGCATGCACATATCAGACCTAGTAATTTGCTGTCAAATTTTCTTTTGCTAAATGATGAAATTTACCGATCAGTTGGTCATTTTAATGCTTACTTAGAAGCCTTGTTAGAGTCCTATTGCATGAAATATTTGCTATAAAATTGGGATTTAAAACTATTTTTTAAGTTTTCAAAAGTAAGTTTTTTATTCATAGTAAAAGGAAAATAGGGGTTTCAATTGCTTTGTTTTTTTTAAAATGAAATATTACTCTGAAATCATTTCATGTTTTGGAACTGAAGCTTAAAAATGTTTGTACAATTGGAATTTGCAAGTTCTGCTTTAATTTGTTTTCAAATAACTATTAAGATCAATTTATTGTCAAAGAATTCTAGATAATTCTTAAAGTAACATGAGAATGTTGATAATTGTAGACATTATTATTTGATAAATCAGTTTGAAAAATGCAAATTTATTTAATGAATAATCTTCCTAGTATATAATTATTTAGGATTACCCTTTCTTCATAAATATGATATTATGAAGTAAATAATTTTAATATTTATTACATTCAAAAATTTAAAAGAGTGACAAATGTTCCTTTATGTTAAGAAATAAGGGCTAGCATATTTTTTCCTTCAAAACATGCACAGCATTATTTTTAAGTGATTGAGTTAATAATATCATTTATTTCTTCCTAAAATTGAATGTGAAATATTGATATACTGTTATTCTGCCCAAATCCTTTGTATAGCAATATTTTTAGAGTATAGGTATACTAATCAGTAAAGCTTAATATTCATGCCTTTAAATTTGTTATTCAAAAACTATTGTTTTACTAATAATATAAATATGTTTTATAAGAAAATGTCAACATTTGAGGATAAAAATCCCAATTTTTATAATGCTGATTTTGGTGGATTGGGGATAAATGAATTATTTTAGAAGCACTAGAATGACCTTGTTATACTATGCTTTTGGCTCTTAATCCTCCTTGTAGACAGATGTCTGAGACAACCATTAATGAAAATTTCTTATTTCCATATTTGCTTATATATTTATAGTCTGATATAACCTGCAAAGCAAATTTCAGAACCAGACTTAGAGCTATCAAGTTTCTATAAGGACCATGGTACATATTTGCAGAAATTTCCAGGACATTTGGAAAAACCAAACTTGTTACTTGGTGTAGTTCTCAAAGTGAAGGACATAGGAGATGACAGAGAGGAAGGGAGGAAAGAAAAATGAGATCAACCAAGGAAGGAAGAAGGAAAAAATGAAACACAAAAAAAGCTTAAAAACAATTTGTTTTTACCCTTACATGCAATAACAAGAGTATGTACCCATCATTAATCAATACTCTGGTATTATGCTGGAATTACATAAGAAAAAAAAATCAACATAACAACATTGCTATTACTTCTCATACTACTGGTTACCATTTCTTTTTCTCTCTTGAAATTTTATTTACCTCTTTTTGACTCTTCTGTTAAATGTGATTCCCTACTACTAGTCTAACCTTCATTTTGACACATAGCTTTTGAATTAGATGGATACTTTTCATCTAGCTGAAAGATGTGTTAATAAGGAATTCAGTGGACTAACATAATAAACAAGGAGACACTGGTCAGAAAATGTAACAGAAGCATAAATATATAAAAAGGATTTATAATACAGTTATCAGGGAGACAAAGAATGCAGCCAGTGGGCGTACAAATGATCAGATTTTTAGAAAATGATGAAGGAGTTTCTGTGTGTGTGTGTGTGTGTGTGTGTGTGTGTGTGTGTGTAAATAGTCTCTTGGGAATATTTAAGAAATAAAGTACTCATGAGTGACTGTTTTTCAAAACAGAAAGCTAGGGAAGGGAAGAGCAATAGGAAGTACTAAATGTGGGAGGATAGCTAGAGATTAAAACATTAGATAGAACTGAGAAATGAATAGCCATATAAAATAATTGATCATACAATAGGCTAACCAAATTGTGAATTACCATGAAAATTACTATCTCTCTTTAAATAATAATCTTTGAATAATAATAATCAGCATAACTGTCACCAATATGGATTGTCACCAACCTCTTGAATTTCATAAATAACAGTACAAGAAACAGTGTTTCTAAGCATATATATCCTTTCGTCTATTTTAAAATAGATTTATTGCCACTTTTGAATCAGTTGAGGTGATTTTAAAACAGGAGTTCAAAGGCAACAAGGGCCTCAGGTCTGACTCAAAGCCATGGAGGATAGACTGAGGTTCCAAGCATGGACTAGGATTTCAAGACGCAACCTGGGTTCAAAACCCAACCCTGGCACTTTCCGATAAGCTTGAGTAAGGTACTATGGCTCTGAAGCTTTAGTTTGATTATCTGTAGAACAGGAAGGACAGAACACTTCCTCATATATTTGAGGGAAAGATTGTATGAGATTATGCACATAGGGCTGAGTACCTTTCCAAATAAACGTAAAGTGTGTTATTATTGGCATCTCTTATACTGATGGTTATAAGCTGTGCAACATTGGGCAAACCACAGGATTTTTGAAATCACTTATTAACAACCTTGTCCTTAATAATCTGACCTCAATCATAGATAATGAAATGAGAAAATGCATGCAAATCCTTGAAGACCAGAATATACAACATACATGTAAAATATTGTTGCTCTAAGTGTCATTCAAGATGTAGCTCTAGCAACCCCCTGCCCAGAGAAGAAATTAACATTTTGTAAAATAACTCTTTCTATACTGCCACAATAAGCTTTGGGATAATGACTGTGATCTAATAATCAAAGATGGAATCTATTTTCCCACACTCATGAATCAGTTTACATAAAATATCTTTTAAGTTGAAAAATAAAAATGAAAACATTATCTAGACTTGGAGACCTGGAGTAACAGACACTACATTTTCCCCTTCGCTAACACTCACCTGAATCATTTTTTTTAAAATGAGCAAATATATTTGAAACAACACTTTCGAGACATTGAACAGCAGGTCATAAAGGACAGTGGTCCTGAGAGATGGGAAACAAAAAATGCCCTGAAATTGCCTTGATTTACTGCCTTGAAAAAGCTTCTAATCCTCAGTGGTGGTAAGAGAATCCTAAACAGAGCCTGCAGGACACCATGAATTGAAGAGTTGAAGCTGAATGCCTGGAGAGATCAGAGCCCCTAGAGTTTGCTGAACAATGCACTGGAGAAAAAAAGAGGAGCATAGACAGGGAACTCAGGAGACATGCAGAAGTGACCACTTGAGTATTCAGCTGCTTGCTGATGCACACATACTGGTGAGGAAAGGATTCAAGTTTTAGGAAAGAACCATCAGAAAGGATTAACAATGTTATTGCTCTGTGATCTCTCCAGATAATCAACAGTAACTATATGTTCCACACAGTTTTATTTGTGGGACATGGGGGTAGTATAAATATTGGGCAATTACATAACCCAATAACAGATAACTCATGTATCAAAGAAATCACAAGTGAAAGTTATAATATTTTGAATTGAATGAAAATGAGAAAATAACATATAAAATTTGTAGTGTCACTACAATTATACTCAGTGGTTATTTATAGCCCTAAACATTGATATTAGGCAAAAAACAAGATATAATATCACTAACCTCAGCTTAAGAAACTAAAAGAAATGAGAATAATTCCAATTGATCCAAAAGAAAGGAAATAATAAATATCTAAGCAGCAATAATGAACTATGAAGCAGCAACATTTTAGGAAAGGCATTGAAACCAAAATCTCTTTCTTTAATCAATGAAAATAAGATCAATAAAGTATTTAAATTTCTAACCAATTACCTTGACAACTTGATAAAATGGGCAACTCCCATGACAGCCACAAACTATCAGAGTTCACAGGAAGAAACATATCAGCCAAATATCTAGTAAAGTAATGAAACTAAGTGGTGAAATGGGTTTAATCCCCAGTAACAAAAAAAAAAAAAAAAAGCACAACTTGTCATGGAAGAAACACTACAATAAGATGATATGAGAATTGTGCAAGCATTTTAAATAGAAATAAGTACATTTGTAGACAAACTCTTTCCAGAAAATTGCAAAAGGGATGATACTGCCCGACTCACCCTATGAACCTATGAAGTCAGCATTTTTAAGATGTGAAAAACTGACATAGACATTGTAAGAAAACTATAAATTATATCCCTTATGAACATCAATGTAAAATTTCTAAATTAAAATAAAAAATCAAGACTCCCAATAGGCAGAACAAATAATACTTCTAAGAGATATTCAATGCAAGATTGATTTAACATTTAAAAATCCATCAATATAATTCACTATCTTAACAAACTGAAAAAAAAAAACTAATTGATCATCTAAATAAACTCAAGAAATGTATTTGACAAAAATCAGCTAGTGCAATAAAAACAATGAATTAAAGCTATCCATATTTGGAAGAAAAAGGTAAGATTGTTGTTTCAGATGATAATATCATCTGGAAAATCCCATGGAAGTTACCAAAATAGTATTAAAATTAAAAGTAATCTTATCAAGGTTATAGAATATAAGAACAATGCAAAAAAGTAACTTGCATTTCTACATAGTAGCAATAAACAACATCAAATTGAAATTTAACAATTATATATGATAATCAAAAATATGCAATAGTGATGAATCTGACAATAGATGTATGAGACCTCAATGGCGAAAACTATAATATATTGTTGAAATTAAAGAAGGCCTAAATAAATGCAAAAATATATTTATTAAGTTTATAAATACAGCATGATATTGAGATAACAATTCTCCCTCATATCAATATAGATTCAATATAATAATAAGCAAAATGCCCGTGGATATTTTCTTTGGTAGAATAAATGGACAAGTTGATTCTAGAATTCGCATAGTAATGCAAGTAATGTAGACTAGCCCTTCTTCCCAAGAAAAGGCTTAATAAAGAAAAGAGTAATTAACAAAATATGATTTCAAATTTAAT